TTATTCTGTTCAAGTGGATTAAATGTTTTTTCTGTGTAGTTGTTTATTCTTCTGTTTATTGAGTTAATATTTAGTTATTTCCATGCTTGCTTGTTTTTAATTTTGTCTAATTTAGTACGTCTGTTAATTAAAAGTTTTTATTTTTCCTGCTTTAATTGTAACAGTTTTTTTAACTGAAGTTACATTTTCATGTAGAAGTGTGGGAGCTGCAATCACTTATACAGTTTGAACTTCATCTCTTTCCTTCTTGTTTTAATGATCTGTTTATGAGTTTCAGTATCAGTGTATTGTATTATTTATATACTGGTTAATAACAGTAACTTGAATGATAAAAGTGTGGATATTAGAGGAAACAGGATGAATTTAATATTTGGATGTTGAAAGTACTTCTGAAGGGATGAAACATGCATCTGTGTGTTTATGAAACAGTTTATATTAATTTTGTTTTTCTGCCCATAGTTTGATGTTTGATCAGAGAAGTCGCTCTTGGAGAGAGCTCCCACTCCGCCTGGCTGATTTTGGTGTGCTGCATCGTAATGAACTGTCAGGAGCACTAACTGGGCTGACGAGGGTTCGTCGTTTCCAGCAGGATGATGCACACATTTTTTGTGCTGTGGATCAGGTAATAGAAGTGAAAAGTATTGGAAAACTGAAACAGTGGATGAACTCAATGCTAGGCTTGCGTACTGTCCTCATATATTGCGCAGATTCCTTGCACAGGAGATCAAGCTTTGAAATTCCAAGCTTGCTCTATTTCTGGGGGGAAAAATATCTGAATGTGAGTGTAAACTTTTTAATGAAATTGCAGGAATGCATACATAAAAATAGAGAGCACTTCCAATATCTGTTATAATCTGGGTAATTTTGGATTTGCAATTTATTAGGATGTGGGCTTATAAATTCTGATAACAGTCTGCACCTTTGAGGCCTGACTAGATGGAGTATTGGACTCTTCAGCCTTGGTGGGACAGAGATTTGGAGGAATATATAAAATGATTGCACTGTACAGTATAACCAGTAGATGTGGTATATTTAAGAACATTGAAGGTCTCTACTGGACCACATTAGGAATGGAGATATTAGAAAATAACTGAAAATAAAAGTGAAGGAACACAAAATTTGTTAAACCATTTAGATAGAATGGCAGTTGAGAAGATACTGAAATAGGTTTCATATTATAAANTTAGCGATATGAGGTTTAAATGGCCTGCCAGGACAGGGGTGGGATTTAAATACCCTTCACGCCAGTCAAAGATTTAATGACTGATGATTTTTCCTTTCAGATTCGACAAGAAATATTAGCTGCTCTCAACTTCTTAAAGCATGTGTACTCTGTGTTTGGGTTCAGCTTCCAGTTGGTATTATCTACAAGACCAGAGAAATTCTTGGGAGAGATGGGTATGTGGAATGAAGCTGAAAAGGTAATCTCCTGTTTGAGAAACACACCAATATTTGCAGGACGAATATTATTTTACTGTAGCTAATTATTATCTGAACTATTTCATAGCAACTAGCAGAAAGTTTGAATGAATTTGGGTGCCAATGGAAAGAAAATCCTGGAGATGGTGCTTTTTATGGGCCAAAGATTGACATCACAATATTGGATGCTCTTCGGAGACCTCATCAGTGTGCAACCATTCAACTTGATTTCCAGCTGCCCATTCGGTTCAATCTGGGATATGTGAGGTATGTTCAGTGTAGATGATGCTGAGCTAGAATGAGTCTAAAGGGTTGTGATGATGATGGAAGACACAGAATTACTGGGTTTTTGGACCTTTTCCATTGTCCGGAATTATAAGTAACAGAAGAACTGGAAACTGAATCTGTTTCCGTCTTCAGGTGAGAAAGGAAGACACATACTCAGTAGGGCTAAGAAAGAGCTGATCTCAATCACTGGACAATTCCTGTCAGATTTACCCAGCTATTTCAACATCTAAGACTAAGCTAGTTCAGCAGGAGATCACACACATGCATGGAACTAGGATACAAAAGGAGGCGGAAATTTGTGTTAGAAACCTAGCATTGGTGCTCATGCAGTTAGTTTTTGTCAGCTAGGTTTCTTCCTTTAAAGAGAAGCAGTATAAAGGACATGAACTAAATTGGTTCTAGATTTTAACAAAATGTTTTTTAAGAAATACTTGTAAATAGACTAATTATAATAATTTATAAATGTTTTAATAAATTCATGCACGTCCCAATAATTGTTAAAGGATAGTATTTTATATTTATGACATTGTAAAAGTAGCATCTCTATGTATTGATAATGACCAATCACATTGTAATATTAGTTTCTGCATGTATGCATATGTCCTTCTGAAAATGATCGCTCCAACCAAAACATGTAAAGGATGGAAGATTGGAAAAAAAACATAACATTTATCAGTCACACTGGACAGCATTAATAATCTTTTATACTGTTACTAGTGTGGCAGACCAGGATGTGCAGAGTCAAATTTATTGAGTTGATTGAAGTATTTGAATTTACAGGAGCTCCTGATGGTGTAAGGGGTGCTGATGCAAATGGCTGTGTGACACATGTTGTATGTTTATGTTGACTACATCCATTTAATTTTACTTTGCATCCTGACCAGTGTAGCAATGCATGAACAGTTGCATTCTTCAGTAGTGATGCCATGTGTCTATTTTATTGATTGTTCAGTGCCCTGCAAACATCCACCTGACTTTCTTGAGATCTGTTACACACAAGACAAATAGTGTTGCAGTATTTTTACCCATTCTTCTTGGGGAAAAATAACTGATGGTGTTTCTCAAGGCTCGGTTTTAGGCCCGTTGCTGTTTCTCATTTATATCAACGATCTGCCCAAAATCGTAATTAACAATGCTATATCCATTTTGTTTGCCGACGATACAAGCGTATTAATTAAAGGTTCTAATTCAGAAAATCTCCATATTAATATGAATAATGTTTTTAATCATTTATATAAGTGGTTTAGGACAAATTTGCTTTCAATAAATATTAATAAAACTCATAGTATGCAGTTTAAAACCAAAAATAAACTCACAACTGACGTAGATATTGTTTGTAACAATCGTCCAGTAACCACTGTGTCAAATATAAAGTTTCTTGGTATAAACATAATGGATACACTCAACTGGAGTTCACATGTGGAATGTATAATCCCAAAACTTACCTCAGCATGTTATATGATGAGAAGTATTAAACCATACTTGCCTCTAAAAACTTTGAAAACAATTTACTACTCTTATTTTGGCTCTGTTATGAACTATGGTCTTTGCTTTTGGGGAGTCTCGCCTCATAGTATAAAAGTATTTAGAATGCAGAAGAAGATAATTAGAATTATGATCGGCTGTAATAGTAGAGTTTCNTTTTTGTATTTTATACTTTTTTATTTATGTACTTAGTTCTTGCTCTATTAATTTTAAGAATAATCACTGTATGGACATGTCCTATATCTCACTTGTATTGTGGATCCATGGAACGAAAAATAAATGAATGAATGAATGAATGAACTTGATTTTGAAATCGTTACCATTATTCATTTCAGTGAGAGTGGAGAAAAGAAGAGACCAGTAATCATTCATCGAGCAATTTTGGGCTCAGTTGAGAGAATGATTGCAATTCTTACAGAATCTTGTGGTGGAAAGTGGCCATTTTGGCTATCTCCTAGGCAGTGCATTGTGATACCTGTTGGAACTCCATTTCATGACTATGCCTTCAAGGTATGTAAAAATATAAATGGCAGTATTGAAGCTTGACATGTAATTTTGTTTGAATGCACATCTTAGCTGTCACGCTTTAGAATGTAGTAAAATATTTTGACCTAAATAATAATATGGAACTGAAGAAAATCACATAATGAGGGCTTTACCATCCATTCTCATCTAGTGATTAGACCAAGATGTGGGGCCACATGCAGAGTATAATATACTCCTGCCTATCCAGCATGAATAGAGAGAGGGATGTGCTGGTTACTTGAAACTGCCAGCTGCATAAGGAAACCTCTCACATAAACCCAATACAAAGTCAAAACAACATGTTTGCACTTTAGTGTTGTGTGGTATTTGTTCTAGGTGACAGTTGATTGCTCAATGAAAGGTTTTGAATGTTATATAAAGCAGTCTTAAACTAGCCACCGGTGTAGTGGCAACTGTGTGGGGGAGGTTAATGGGCAATGCTGCAAGTTGTGACAGGAAGAAGCACCACATGGCAGGTGAAAATGTGGCCATCACAACATTGTTTTTGAAGTAATTTTATAAAAATTGCAATTTTTTGCCAATTCCATAAGAATTTTGGATGCTTGGATACAGTATAACAGAGTGTATTGTATAAGGAAAAATACCTATAAAATTTTGTTTGAAAAACTCCAGGAAGAGAAATGGCTTATGAGGTCTAGGCATAGATGCTAGGATAATATTAAAATAGCTTGTAAAGGAATAGATACTGAAAATGTGAACAGGATTGAACTGCATCAGGATAATGTCTAGGACAGTGTGTGAACTCCTTACGAATTCATAGAAATGTACATATGTGTAAAAATAAAGAAATACCGTTGAGGTCTCCATGCTATCATGAAAAGATTTAAAGAGACCACACCAGATGTTGACCGTTTCCCACAAGAAAATATTGACTCCTGTTTTTTGTAAGCAATGACTTAACATAATTAGTGATATTAAATTTTATGAAACTAATTTTTATGTTGCTTTGTTGCAGGTGAAAGATCAGCTGTATTCTGCTGGTTTCATGTGTGATGTGGATGTGGATCCAGGTGACACAATGAATAAAAAAATTCGCAATGCCCAACTAGCTCAGTATAATTTCATTCTGGGTAAGGTGCTTATATCTTAGAACACATAATGTGAACTGTGTTGTGTGATTTTTTCCCTTTCTTTACCGAGCTGTAAATAAATTGTCTTTAAGCCTTAGTAGGGAATGATACACTTCTGGAGGTGTATTCCACATTAGAGAATCACTCTTTAAAATTTCACTTAAGAGATTCTGTGCTTGTAACAAACTTGAATGTTGCTACCAAGCCTGCTGCTTGACCCCCTCCCACCCCCACCCTTGCCATTCCAATCCTACTCTCATCTTTATACCCTTTTTCTTCAAGATCCATTTGATATTTGAACTCTTGACTGTTTTCCTTTAATTCAAACCCCCCCTGTTGTCTTCATTGCACACAGTTCATGTAGTGAGTCTAGTGAAGCAGTCTTAGATATCTCTGTCCACATAATGCAATTGCTGAACCACACAGCAGATTTCAGTTAAATTTGGGTTGTAGTGGGTGTATACTTCAGTTGCGTTTCCTATTGTTCATATTAGTCGTCCAAAAACCCCATTTATATGTTAAGTAGAAATTAGACTTAACAGATTTTCAAAGACAACTGGCTCACTACATTAAAAACTGATATATGACATGAAGTATATGCCTGTATTTGAAACACTGTGCACTCTTTGGAAAAGATAAAAAAAATAAGGTAAGAAATATACTCATTATAACTCTGGTGCTTTTGCTTCCTTTTGTTTAATTATTCCAAAACCATATGAAAATGATGTATTGTGTGTAAAATATGTGTTCAGTTTTCTTTCCAACTTTCCCATATGTCTTCATTGCTTGGGGCTTAATTAAGCACAAGGAAAACTTTGCTTCAATTTTTTTTTAACATTTTCCCCTCCTGATAAATATTAAGCAAGTTAAGTTCAGGATGCATGCAGAAATGCACATAAGCCTTTAGATAATATGTTATTCATTTTTAATGAAAACACATTCTGCAGNTCCAAAAACCCCATTTATATGTTAAGTAGAAATTAGACTTAACAGATTTTCAAAGACAACTGGCTCACTACATTAAAAACTGATACATGACATGAAGTATATGCCTGTATTTGAAACACTGTGCACTCTTTGGAAAAGATAAAAAAAATAAGGTAAGAAATATACTCATTATAACTCTGGTGCTTTTGCTTCCTTTTGTTTAATTATTCCAAAACCATATGAAAATGATGTATTGTGTGTAAAATATGTGTTCAGTTTTCTTTCCAACTTTCTCATATGTCTTCATTGCTTGGGGCTTAATTAAGCACAAGGAAAACTTTGCTTCAATTTTTTTAACATTTTTCCTTCCTTATAAATATTAAGCAAGTTAAGTTCAGGATGCATGCAGAAATGCACATAAGCCTTTAGATAATATGTTATTCATTTTTAATGAAAACACATTCTGCAGTAAGATACAATGAAGTGTATGAGTGTATTTTTGCAACTTGATATTCATGGTTTATCTCCTTAACTGTTTGATAGATTTTAATGAAATTTGATGTTGGAATTTATGCTAAAATTTGTTGTGCAGAATTTACTTCTATGTAAGATTTGAGGTTTTCACGGTGGTGATTATGAAGAAAGCAGTCTTCTGGGATGTGGTGCTGTGTAGATATTGTGTTAGCCGACGTTTCGGAGGAGCGTTCCACACTTGCGGATTTTCTTTCACCCTGAAGATGGAGGCAATACGTTCCTCTGAAACGTCGGTTAACACAATATCTACATGGCACCACATCCCAGAAGACTGCTTTCTTCAGATTTGACTTCTGTTTATATTTGGCCCACATAACCTCTTATTAAAATGTGAAACTCAAATTGAAGTGTGATGTTTTTAAATATGACTCATCACAGAGAAATGTATTCTCAACCATGGGCACCATTTTGCGTGCTCACAATCCAGTCATAATGTCCAAAATTGAAAAAATCAAAATGCAGGTTTGAAGTGCCTCTTCTAAGTATGCATTTTCATGGATATGGTGGCAGCTGATGCTAGAAAGACTATTGTTAACCTTTAAACGACTAAAGTCCCCATATGGGGTCGCAGAAATAAAGTCAGCGGTACGAATGTCCCCATATGGGGTCGCACAGTCCGCGCGTGCGGACGTTATTTGANCCCACTTTTCATTCCACAAGAATTACGTCATGGTACGATCACACTTTGAAATTACGCTCGACTGAATGCTTCCAGGAACGAAGCTATTACGGTGTGTGTTCATACAGTAACACGATTTCATAAAACAAATGCTAGCCTTCATCTCTACAAGAACAGTACACGTATTGTTTATTAGAAGAACTCTATATGCAACAACACGTGACTTTATATCATTCTTCCACTGTCCACATTCTCGTAGTAGCCAAAGATAAGCTCTAGACTCAACATCCGGTCTTACCGTGACTTGCACAAGTGTCGTCATCAGCAAATTCCATTCAGGGGTGTCCAGAACGTATGAATTCTTGCACAGAAACAAGAAACTGCGAAAATTCTCCTTTGGTGTCAGTGCAAAAATTTTAACATGTTTTATACAATCTGTAAATTACAATATCTGATTCTATATTCTTTAGAGAAAAAAACAGCGTTTATTTCGTTCGTTTATCACAGAAATTGCAGAAATAGGAGCAAATTTAGTAAGTGACTACAGCTTTTACGGATTTCTAAGAGCGGCCCTTTAAAGAATTCCGTATGGCTGCCACAACTGGAATTTAAAGGGCCGTAGGATAAAGGTTAATCAGATTCAGCTGCAGGTAGTAGTAGTGGTAGTACTACCAGCAACTAATGCATGTTGCATTATGTCAACACACTATATTAGTCTCTCACACAGCACCATAATTTTCTTGTAGAGGGAGATATAAACCATCTCGTCAAGATGTACAGCTATTATTTGAAACATTTTTTAAAGTGTTCAATATTTAAATAAAGCACAAGGGAAAATAATTACTGCTTTTCCAGTGTAAATACATGTACTTTGATTAGCATTGCAACATTGGGTTTATATCTGCCATAAATAAATATTACTTCCTTCTTTATATCATAAGTGCAGGGAATGCATGAAAGGTGACATGCACTCTCTTCCATTTTCTGTACTAGTATGTGTTTGTTGTAGTGGTTGGCGAAAAGGAACACAGTGGAGGAACAGTAAATGTTCGTACAAGAGACAACGTGGTTCATGGAGAGTTCTCAGTCGAAGCAGTGATACAGAAGTTTCAGTCCCTGAAAGACAAGCAGTTGTTCGATAGTGAGGTGGACTTCTGAACACAGTAAATGAAGTGCTGTGTTGCTTATATAAATTTATATTGAAGATTAATTTATTTTGCACCATGAATAATGTATTATTCCATGTATTAACCACACAGTAAGCTTATTTTCCTTTAAACATTGAAAGAATGGCACTTTACAGAAATTGGAAGGATGTACCGTTTGTATTAATATGATTTTTAAGTTCTCACAGCAGTGCTGATGTATGGATGAGTGTTTGGATAATAATGTCATGATGTGTTATAAGAAAAATTCTTAATATTTCTCTACTTACTCATAGAAGATGCCCCAAAGATAAATTATAAAAATGTTTGAAAAGTCTTGCAACAGTACATAGTATTGTAATCCAGAATGTTCATACATTGCGAAAGACTAAAATAAAATAAATCACTTTACGATTCATGTAAAGTGTTTTGTTGACAGTAATGATCTGTGACTCCATCATGCAACTGAATGCAGCACAACGTTCAGTAACTGTGCTTAGTGCTAGAAGGAGCCCCCAAATTTGAATCTGTATATAAACTCAACTTAGAGCAATTGTGAATGGAAGTGTTTTAAAGCATGAATTATTTAGATCAGTGTTTCTCAAACTTCTGGCAGCTGTGGGACACTGCATGGACAGTCAGTGTACACATGGACCACTCAACTATCATAACATTCTCCTTAGCCGTAGGGAGCATGCAATTTCATTTCTTTTATGCGAATAGGAGAAAAATTATAGTTACGATTGCTATAAACCACTTTTTTTCTAACCACCAATTTAAAGTATATTTTTAAACAGTGATTCATTGCATTTTAAATTATTTATTACATGCCATATAATTCTGTGTGGACTGTATAATAATACAGGCCATCTGGTGGACTTACAGACCACAGTTTGAGAAACATGGATTTAGATGTTATGGTATGTGAAATAAATTTCTGCAGGTTTCAGTTGAATACATTTCTGTGGTGTTTTTTAATATAATTTATTACACTGAACTACTATAAACATGGAATCGCCAATTTATTTGTTGCCTGTTATTTGGGTTTTGGTTTGTAAGCTATTATCATTGCTTTCCCTGTACCACATTTTTGTGCAAATCAGCTTCTACTATAACTGGTTTATGTTTGTGCCACCTGCTATGTGGCACGGATAGAAGTAACAGTAAATTGCAAAATATAACAACAAAGACAAGCCAAGAGGGGAATAATGCAAATAAAGCAAATGTAACCAGATAACCTGCTGTGCCCATCTCATGAGACCAAACCCAAGGGCTCATACTCTACTTGAAACTACAGTTCACTGGGAACAGATGCAGTGTAGGTCGACTGATCACTGGAAGAAGGAAGGGGTTGAGTTATGACTATTTTAGAATTATGAACTGGATGATAACTTTGAAAAGTCTTCTTTGTTGTGCACTGTGAAGTTAGTGACTGCACCTGAAAGCCAGCCATCACCAAGGGATGACAGGAGTAGAGCAGTGGTTACGAACAAAAGACACGAAACAAGCAGCCCTTCACATAAGTGCAGTGCAAGAGGTGCTCTGCCCCCAATATAGTATTGTGGGAACATCCCACATTATCACACATTTCTGCAACGCTCGCTCTTCACATCACTTTTCACCATCACGCACGCTAACCAATCAGATTGCTTCAAACGATCGCATTTATACTACGCTCGGCGCTAGCCCACATCTACGTCATTACGCGTGCTAGCCAATCAATTCTTCCTCCTCAATTTCGAGTTTCGCTCCGCCCCACCGAGCAGTGTATAAAAAGGGGCGGCTCCAACGCCGAGTTACGCAGTTCATCATCAGTCTACGAGCTAGCCACACCAAGCAACATCAACCAGCAGGCTTCGTCGCCAGCGCTCGGTCTACGGTGCATCGGCGCTTCGCTGCGCCAGGCATGACTGCCACGGCTGTCTGCCGGCAGCACGCACTCACCAGTAGTCATACCTGACACACTGGGCAACTGGCGTAGCTACCACCTCTCCGCTCCAGCGACCGCGCTCAACGACTCGCCTTTCACCAGCCATTCACCGTAACTAGCCTTTCTCCTTACCGGTGCACGCTGCACTACCTCACCGGTCAAACATCTCATCAGTCACGGTCCTTTTCAGGGCCAACAAACTGTTCCGAAGAAGTAGGTTGTCATAGGAGTAATGACAAGACTACACATCAAGAGCCCCACAGTATCATCATGACACTTGGATCCAAGATGATGAGGTGCAGAAAATCAGACAGGGATACCAAATTGTGAGCACAGTTGTCCACCATGGTTGTCACTCCCTCAGTCCATATTCATGCCATTGCACTACAATTCAAAAGTGTGCACAGGTCACTGCAACATCATTACTGCACTTTATGCAGCACATGAGGATGTGTACATATCCTGGTTAATGGCTGTACAGTCTAAAGTCCACAAGGCTTGGAGTCACTGGTACAGGTGATTTAAAAGTCAGCATTGTACAGGCAGTCTTGGAAATGGATAAAACAGGAACAATGTGAGAAAGCACTCTGAAACTCAAGAACACTATAAGAAACCAAAAACCATTACAAACATCCATTCACCTGTGAATGAAACACAACACCTGGCAATGGACAATATCACATACAGTATAGCATGGCTTTATGTGAGCTTATATGAGTGCATAAGATGTCATGGAATTACACACCATGGGTCCCACCAATATGCTGGTGAGCAGGAAATAAGGCTAACAGTGCCAAGAACCACAGCCCTACTAGACAATAAAACAGGCTGTATGCAAGGTAAGAGATTATATAGGGTGGTAGATGTGGCAAAACACAGACCAAAGTAGAACTGCCAAACATCCATGATGAAAAGCTCAAAATGTATCCAGCATGACAGCCACAGGAACTGAAAAATGGTGAAAAGACTACATCTGAAATGTGTCATACAGTGGTGAAAGCTGCAGTTTCCCTGACCCAGGAGGAACCCAACAAACTGAGTGAGTCAACCACAAGACTTGCTGATTCCTTGGCTTGCTATGAGGATACTTTTTCCTTGGGCTCCTTCAGTAGGAAGGATGCAAACAGGAGCAAGTTAAGGGAGAGCCCACATAACCTTTATGGTGCCCCCTGAATATCATAAGGGCTCATAGAAACCAAGAATGCCATTTAGTTGCAAAAGTTTTTGGCTCCCCTAATATGGAAACATGCAGGAGTAGTCAATCCAAACCTAATGTTCCTTCCAGTAGTTCAAGAACATTTCAAACCTAGGAAATAAGATGAGAGAGGCATGTCTGGAAATTATTATAGAACAGCCTGTTAATTGTACTGGTGTGAATATTCAGTTATATACCTATTTTGCCATTATAGGTTAACTGTGCTTTATATCATTCATCAAGTAAAGCCAGATATGCCAAAACTTGTATGCTCTTTTAACTGCAGTAAGTTCATATATTACATGCCCTGCCTTTGGCTGTAAGGACCATGATGATGGTCTGCTCCCCCAGGCAGTATAATGTGTCAACTGAAGGACACTAGACCTGTCCATTTCAAAAGACTGCCCAATGTATGTGCAGGAGAAAAATATATTTTGAAAGATTCACCTTTCCTTTGATGGGTTAACCTAACTGGCTGTTGTGCTATTGCAATGACGTATTCACAATGTTAGCACATCTGGTGCTGTAGTGTTTTCACCAGTTGAAAGCTGGCCACCAGTCATAGTAACAGGATTTAGGCCATGCCATACCTCAGGTAGTTAACTGCTGGCTTCCCACTATCGTGGCCCAGGTCAAGTCATGTGGGACTCATGGTGGGCAGAGTGGTACTGGGGAAGGTTTCTCCTGCCAGTTCTCATTCCACCAAGCGCTCCATACTCGTCTATCATCCGGAGCCAGTACAATAGGCTGATTAGTGGCCAACATACCAAGTGGATTCAGTCTCATTAAATTCCATATACCTGGCCGATAAAGGTTAAGATGAAGTTTGATTTAAACCCTAAACAGCAGGAGGTAAAATGAACAGACTGGTTTTGAACCCCAAAAATTACTGAAATGAGAACACAAAAGTTACCTCCAACAGTTTGTGTCCATGTCCATGCCCCATTAGACATGATCAGTTGCTCAATGTGGTCGTATTTTTGGGTCTCTACTAATCTGAAGCACCAGTTTAGTTCTGAAAAGTCCTGGTTGCAATATTCAGGTACTCATTATATGCAAGTTTGAAAAATATGATTCCATTTCAGTGCACTTAACTAGTTAGACCAATTGCAGTTAACAGCATTTGCCTTAATGCAAATGCAAATTGAATGAAGTGGAGAGAAGCAGTACAGTATTATATGGTTGTTGGAGGAGGGAATTGAAGGGAGAGGTGAATATCATGTTCAGTTTATGCCATTTCACTCACTGGGACTCCTGAACACAATTGTGGCTTAAATTGAAGTATATCTGCATACATAAGGCTAATTAGCGATTGCAGGATATGACAGCCACATGATGTGAATGTTGAAGTACTGCAGAGAGTATAGTTACGTTATAAATTTAATGCTACGAGAGAAACCCAATTATTAATTTTCCCGCTAGACTAGTTGTTTCCGCAATACACGAACTTCAAGGTCAATGACATAGGTCGACTCGGAAATTTGAATAAAAAAACCTTGTTTAAAATTTTGGCTTTGATTTGCTTAATGTGATTACTGTCACGAATAAACACTATGACTGTGAGTAGAGTAAAAACTATATAAAACTCCGAAATCCCTAACATACGCAGCTACTACATCACACTTCTTCGTTCCTCAGGCTCCACTGCTGCAAACACGGTTACAAACTTTGTCGTGCATAATTCGTAATTGTTAGTGCAATACCAGACTTTAAATAGCATGTTCTCGCGAACATCATGCTGTAAATGTAAATTGAACATATGAGATGTGTTATTTGGCTTTATCCGATTTGCGCTACGCGTTACAGTAAAGTACTGGAAAAGAAAAATAATCTCTGGTTATAGCTGTAATGGCTGTAATGGTGGCAAGTCATATGCGTTGGCGACAGCTGACTGGCTGGTCGTTAGTGGTCCGTGGATGGTGTCGGTTGGCCCAATGTGGTTGAGTGTATGTTGGTTTAAGTCTACCGTTACATTACACCGGAAAACTGCCACATGTGAAGGTGGGTGGCATATTGTCTTGAGGATTTAATAAGGTCGATTCTGCCTGTCTAAGGTCTGCAACGAACATTTTTACGACATGAGTCCGTACTGTTATTTAATAATTTTGGTATTCTATTTGTCTATTGCTAATGTTAGTTCAAGTGAAGCTGGTAAGAAAGGCCCAAAAGTTACAGATAAGGTAAGCCTGGTTTTATCTCAGCTCTGCATGTTGTATTAATAATGGTAGAAAATGAATCCAAAATATATTTGTACCTTGGTTAAGTAAACGTTTTCTTTTGTAAGGTTTGGTTCGATATTACAATTGGGGAAGAAGAGAAGCAGAGAATAGAAATTGGGTTGTTTGGTAAAACGGTACCCAGGACTGTCAAAAATTTTGTTGAACTAGCGAAGAAACCAGAAGGAGAAGGATATAAGGGCAGCAAATTTCATAGAGTCATAAAAGATTTTATGATACAAGGTGGCGACTTCACTAAAGGAGATGGTACTGGAGGTGAGTGACCTGGACAGGTAATAATCTTTCTTGGGGCATGACTATTTATAGTGGTTGGTTGCCATGACACTTATAAACTACATGGTTGTACCTACTCATGTCAGTTATTTTGTTCAGTTAGGATATAAAAATTAAGATATTAATGATAAACTACCATATAAATTAGAGGTGGCTGAAATGCATTAGTGGCTGAGCCTAAGGGTAAGGGGGTGAGGTCTCCCATAAAATATTAGATGGGGCGGGGGCATGTCTCCCCTAAAAACTTGGTAAAGTGTGCACAAAAGTGAAGTGCCCATAACAAACTAAACTACATAGAACTGAGCCCTTCTTGAGAAGCCACCAGTTGTGCAGCTAGTTAAGAATTTCCCAGCATTTTGTGGAACCTGAAGGTTCATTACCAATACATACACACATTTCATTAATTCAACATTTGTCCATCAATGGGTGAATATGAAACAAGTCAGGAGGTGTACGTTGCACAGTGCAACTTGAGCAAAAGATCATAAGAGGTTAAAGGGTTAAACTTATTGAGCAAAAGAAATATTAAACAGTAATATATACTAACTACATAAACAATTAAATACATTAAACAATAATATATACACAGTTCATTAACAACAAAGTAAGTACAGAATCTGGTATAACAATATGATTGAAAGTGCTTAAAAAGTAGAATGAAACATGTGTAAGAAGATAATTCCTTAAAGCAAACTCAAAAAATGCTCTCTTTTTTCATCTGGATATGCTAGGTAGTAATTTATTGAATATCTTAATAACAGGAAGTCTAACTAAGGGTATGTCTAATTTGTTCTTATATCTTGTATTGATGTCATGAACAGAAGAGTTAATTTGAAGGTAATGCATGTTATAAAAAACACAGCATTAATGAATAAATATACAAACTTAGAACAGGTAAAATCTCCAGTCTTTTAAACCATTTTCTGCAGGAACTCTATGAACTTATCTCAACATAATTCTTAATACCATTTTTTGAATTAGGAATACCTTATGCATAGAACTAGTGTTACCCCAAAATATTATTCTGTAATTAACCAAAGCCATGTTAGGTGGGTCCCATGTCACCACGGCATGGCGCGTCCTCAGGTTGTGGATGGAGGGTAGCTGCACATATATTGAATAANAACCGGTTAATCCGCCCCCGGATAATCGAGAGTTGACTGTATATTGAATAGGCAGTTGCGGACAGCCAACAAGCTTACTGTGAAAAATAAGCTTGTTATAAAAATTTGCAAGAAGTCTTGGACCTGGAAGGAATCCATGGATAAACGACCTGAGCGAAAGCAAATGGACATGAGATTCGGTACTTGGAACATCAGAAGTATGTATCAGGCAGGTTCACTCAGGGCAGTGGTGGAAGAAATCTCAAAATATAAGTTAGATTTAGTGGGAGTACAGGAGGTCAGATGGGACGGAGGTGGCACCGAACCAGCAGGTGAATATACATTCTTCTGTGGAAAGGGGAATGAGAATCATGAATTCGGTACGTGTTTTTTCATACATAAGTTAATCATATCAGCATTTAAGGGGGTAGAGTCCATTATATGATGTCATAAGAGGTCGCTGGTGTGATATCATTTGGAATGTATATACCCCAACAGAAGATAAAATTAATTATATAAAGGACAGGTTCTACAAAGAACTAGAACATGTATTTGAGAAATTCCCGAAGTTCCATAAGAAAATTTTGTTAAGAGATTTCAATGCCAAAGTAGGTACTCAATGCCTCATCCTCCTTGACTTGATCATTCTAATTACACTTGGAGAAGAGCACAAGTTATGAAGCTCCTCATTGTGCAGTTTTCTCCAACCTCCTGTCACCTCATCCATCTTCAGTCCAAATATTCTCAACACCCTGTTCTCAAACACCCTCAGTCTGTGTTCCTCTGTTAATGTCAGAGACCAAGTTTCACACCCATACAGAACCACAGGCAAAATTATAGTTTTGTATATTCGGATTTTTGTGTTTTTGGACAGCAGACAAGAAGACAAAAGGTTCCGGACTGAATGGTAGCAAGCATTACCAGAGTTCAGTTTCCACATTTTGAATAGGCAGAAGAATTACACAGAAACTTTAATTGATGCTAGTAAAGAGGCTAGTCTCGAAACATACACATGGCTTGTGCTGAACTTCAGATTTCACAGCCAATACAGTTTGTCACACTCCTTTTCAAGTTACACTGCATGTGAAGCACATTCTTTTAACCTACTGACCTCGTCAACAGTCACTTTTTCTGGAATCTCACAACCTCAGCAAACCTACACTTTCTAGAATATTCTGAAATCCTCTAAAGCAGCACCTGGAATTGAATCAGTGTATACACATAATTTATAGCAGCAGTCAGTTAAGTATTTAGTAAACATATAAAATTTAATGGACTACATGGCATTATATCCCAGAAGATAGTACTCTTCATAACAACTGCTGTGAGAATTTCAGATCTTACATGTAAGTATTTACTTTTAAGGAAAACTCGTAGTCTCCTTCCCCATCTGGGCTGTGATCCTAGCATTGTATTTTGCATTTTTTTGCTCTTTGCAGGCCGAAGCATTTATGGCGACCGTTTTGCAGATGAAAATTTCAAGCTGAAGCACTATGGAGCAGGTTGGCTTTCCATGGCTAATGCTGGTAAAGATACAAATGGATCACAGTTTTTTATAACAACTAAACAGACACCCTGGTTAGATGGAAGACATGTTGTTTTTGGGAAGATTCTAAAAGGAATGGTTAGTGTTTGAAAGTTTCATGTTTATTTGAACATTGCCATACTGTGGAAAAACATAAAAATGTGTATAATTAATTATTAGTAATTTCAGAATTATGTGCATAGGTTTTCTCATACATTCAATATTTCAGGATGTGATCAGAAAGATTGAGAGCTCCAAGACTGACAGCCGTGATCGGCCAGTTAAAGATGTGACTATTGTAGACTGTGGAGCTGAAGAAGTAACTGAGCCATTCTCTGTCTCAAAAGAGGATGCTACAGAGTAAAATGCTCTGAACATCGGCCAGGAATAATTGTGCTTGCCAACGTCAGTTACACTTCCATGGAGGCATCTTGGATTCTGTCACCTAAGTGTACAGAAGTGATCTAACTATGAATTTACAGTAAACAGCTGTTGTTTCTATCATGCAAATCTCTTGACATTGTCATGTGTCTGTTACACTAGAGGTGTGCACATCCAGTAGTGATATGGAAGTTTTCTGTAACATTAATGCTTTGCCAAAATGTAAACAGTTTGTGATCTTTCCATACTTTTGTAATTGACCTTAACAATTTATTTGTTATGCTTGCAACATGCAAAAATTAAATACTCTTTCATTTAAAAATGAAATTCAATATTATGCAGGAAACAGTTCTTTACAAACTTTTTTAAGTGAGTTTCACATGCAACTTTAATTGGATTTTTGTATTTTCAGTAGAAAAGAACAATGGTGGTTTTAAATGGTCTGTGAGCAATATTCAGAGTAATGTACTTGGGTTGTGGTTAGTCAGTTCATGACATATGTCTGTATTAAATGAATATGGGCAGAAAATGAGTTTACTTTCACTTTGTAAGGGTTTTTGTGGTTTCATGCTTAACGAGGTAGGTAAAGTCTCAAACAATAAAACATGACATTTGAATTTCTCTAAATGTGTTCTTCTGGGTTGTGGCATAGTCTTAGAGGTGGGCACCAACATTTGACAGGAGCAAGTTACTACTGTCTTTATTGCCGAAATGTGTTTGGTGTGGAATTGACCGGCATATGTTTCAGGGAAGGTACTTTCAGACCCGCGGGACGGAGTAAGGAAATGGAGCCTGATCTGGGCCATTGGCAATGGTGGGTAGGAAAACAGCTCTTTTCAAGTACGTACTGAGTCTTAGCCACATGAAGGAAATGGAATTGTCAGAAGACATATTCCTTTTAGTGACACCCATATGTTTTCTTGACAGGAGGGAAACAGAACATTCAGTCAGAACAATCATGGTTGCAGAAGTGTCAAACTTATAGAATTACAGATATTTTCTGTGTATTGGTAAAAAGTTGGCATGTACACATTGCAACAGAATGTCTGAAGCCTGGTAATTGTATCATATAAAGCTATTCTAATTTTATTATTTTGTATGATACTGATATTTCCAGTTCCCCACAAGATTGAGCACAGGTAATGTTAATGGCACTTTATGATTATCTTTCAGTGTTTATAGAAAAAGTTACATTTACTTCTGAGGGTGCTACACTACCTGATGAACCTTGGCCTCTTTAACCCTTCAGTGCCATAGTCCATACCTGGCACGCATAGTGCAGGGCTAAGTTTCAGTACATACTTTGAAATGTTGTTTTCCATATAAAGCAGTTCTTTTGGTATGAAATCAAAGAGGAAATTTCAGGCTATCATTTTGTTTATTCAGTGTCCCACTTTTGAACTTCCTGCGGCAGTTTTATTACATTTGATTTCTTTGAAAATGTTTTCTGCCTCAACACTTGATGCGCTTAATATCATACAAATCTATCCTCGCCCCTAGGGGAACTTTTATAAACTAAATATGTTAGATTGATACTGTGTCCTGTCCTGCATGCTGATCGAATGAAAAGTCTATTCTCTTCAGGTATATTCTGACCAGTGCTGCTTCTAGATTGGAATTTGTAACCAAGAGAACACATGGAGAATCTACAACTTTGAGACATGATGTTGACTCTAAGAAGTGTTATGACTGCCATGTAGCAAGTGATAAACAGTTCACTATATGAATGGTACTACTGTAATTCCCCTTTATTCTGTAAATACACATCATGCAGTCTGGTTTTAGCGAGCCGTGAGCAGCGAAGTTGCTAGCTGTGTTGTGTCATGACCAGTGCAGGATATATTTACTTCAAACCAAATCAGAACAAAGGTTTATGAGATTTTGAATTTGACACTGAAAATCGAGAAAAGCACAAACGTCCATTGGGAAAATATGCAAAACTATAAGGAGCAGAAAGAAAATTCTGAATGTGATGAGAATACGTAGAGTAACACAAAGAAGAGAATAGATCAATTGTCAATCAGAATTAACTTAATTGACGGACTGTGAAATATGCTAATGCTGTAGAACACGAAGTGCCAGGTCGACAATTGTCAGACAAACAGTGCGCTGTCTAAAGAGAAAGAAATTTTATAATAAAGATTCTACCAACTGCGAAGAAATCAAGACCACTGAAATGGCTTGTTGCGTGTCAAAAACTGTACTAGTGTGACATGTGATGTGTGGAATGTTTTCACAACTAACACACCCAGCCGAATTTCTAAGATAATATGATACTATTATTCCTAATTTTTATAGGCTTACTGTACCAAAAAATAATTTTGAAGCAGTGTTGATCAATACACCGATTCTATATACATTTCTAAATGTAGTGTGAAAATTAGAAAAACAAAACTCCAGTTTTTCCCAATTTATTACACTTTTTGTGAATTGTTGCATTTACCATTTTAAATGCTTAAAATCTTCAACTGAAGCCAGCCACCTGATAGCAAGTCTGCCTACTTGAGTACCCTCTGGTTTTATATAGAGTTACCTTCCTGAAACGGTTCTGCTCCTGCATTTTAACTCTTTGACTGGCGCGGGCGTGTTTTAACGCCCAGACGATGCCAGCCGTTCCCTGGCGTTGGCGTGTTTTAACGCTTTGACAATCTCTTCCCTTCTTTGCTCTCTTGGCACTCATCAACCAAAGACATATATATGATAGTTTTTGTGCATGTTTGTAAAGAACCCTTGTAAACTTTGTGGGGGTCTATATTACTGTCAGAACCCTCTGAGAAGGAAAAGGTCAGAAAATATTTCACATTCATTCAGTTTCACCATGGCTTCTTGCAGCAAGTGTCTTCGTGTTCCTACAGACCAGCTGGAAAATGTTGTGAACGAGATTTGTTCTGATGATGATAGTGGCGATGAAATAATGATTCCTGAATTAGATGAAGTTGATAGTGACAATAATACAGTGATAGACAATGATCCACAAGACAGTAATCATGAACATTTACCTACCACGAGTGCGGTGCCTGACATGCCCATCTCATGGACGTACGGAGACATTGTACCAACAATAGTTCCATTTACTAGTAGTTCCGGGATCAAAATTGATATAACATAAAATGGATTTCATGGATTAAAATTTTTCTGGATGATGACTTGGTAAATCACATCACAACTGAAACCAATCGCTATGCTCACCAGCACTTCAACACACATGAGTTAGCTCCTCACTCTCGAAAACACAATTACAATTATGTCACATCAGATGAAATCTGGACATACTTAGGAATTGTGTTCATGACAGGAATCGACAAACGCCCTGAAATTGAAGAATATTTGTCCACTAGGCCCCTATTTCACACCCATGGTATGGACAAAACATGTCTTTGCGGTTGAATAGTTTCATTCTATTCAAAAAGAACACAACAAACGAAAAATACAAGAAGAGAAATTACAGATTCAAAGATTTTATATTGGACTGTGTAGAAAAATGACTGAACCAAACAAACAGGGTGGAGAGGGAGAAAAGTCAAGGAATGAAGTGGATGACGAATCTATTGGGTCAGACTAGAGTGCAGTCACGCCTCCGCCCTCGACCTTGAAAAGACCACCAGTGAAAGAGCCAGCAAATCGTCTAGAGGGTGGCTTGAAAATTCACAAAATGGTCCATGTTCCTAACAGTAACAATAAGAAGAATGGTGCCCTGAGAAAGTGTCGCGTGAGTGCTAATCACAAGGTTAGAAAAGAAACAAGTATCATGTGTGCAGGCTGTGGTGTGGCTCTCTGCAAACTTTCATGTTTCAATGTTTATGACACGAAGAAAAACTAATAAAGAGGTATGGAAAGGCATTTATTGCATAAAATATTGTATTTTAATTAGTTCCTAAAAATTTCGTTTTTAAAAACCAATTTTTGTTGAAGTTGTTTAGGAAAAAGTAACTACATGCATTTTAGCAACATACGGTTTAAAGGGCCTGCCAGGACAGGGGTGGGATTTAAATACCCTTCGCGCCAGTCAAAGAGATAAAAAGGTGTCTCTCACATGTTTATGTATCCATGTGGCACTATTAAGCAATAATACTTGGCACCAAACTATAATATGCTGTGAAGTGAAACACTTTTAAAGATATTAATAATGAAACAGGATAGAAATATGATAATTACTGGTATTATATACGGGAAATTTGTGGAACACCATCTTTGGACTCATATAATCAGATTCATTACTGCAAATGGCATTAACTATACTGATCATGAGAAAATGCACCAAGTAGCATATGTATGACATGGAGTAAACACAGATTGATTGATTCTATGGTTTCTGATTGTGTTGTGGCAGTTTTTTAATGTCCCCTACTTGGGGAACAGATTGGCAGTATTGTGATGCTACTTATCCTTCAGTAAAGAAGCAGAAAGTACTGTTCTCTTATCAGCAATGCCACAGGTTCAGTGAGGTCTTATGAAACAGGTCTCCAGAGTGCAGAACTGAATTTCTGTAGGTATCTTAGTTCATATATATTTATAGGACATCTCTCTTTCACACATAGAGGAAAATTTATGTTGGTTTTGGAAAAATTCAGCACAGTGCATAGATAAATTTGCCTCTTTCAGAAGCTGGGATGTCAGTTTTACTAAACAAAATATAACCTGAAAACAAGATGAGCTTGCTGCAATAAAAACAATGACAAGGCTGTTGGTATGGTATATGTTTTTTTGTAAGGGTAAAAAGGTAAAATTGTTCCTTTGCTTAATTAAGCACCACATCATGAAGATGTATGGGGGAATGGAGGTATAGCACCAGTTTTGACCTTGGTACTAGGTGGAGGTGAGTGGTCAGCTTTACGCTTCAGCCACTTTATGCCTAGGGAAAGAGCTCCCAGCACCCACTGAATAGATGGGTAGGTGGACCCCAGGGTCAGCTGGACACTGAAGAATTCTCATGTCCCAGCTGAGAATTGACCCCTGGCTGGCCAGCCCATAGCCTTTCACTATACTGAGTTATATAAGTGCTCCTATATATTATTTTGTTAGAAAAATTATTACTCAAGTCTAGAACTTCCTTTCCATGCAATGAACTTGCACAGTAGATGGTCATTAGCATATCTCAGAGATATGAAAGGAAAATACCCTGTATCATTTGACCTCACACGTTCAACTTATATTTTAGAAGTAAATTCTGATGCAACTTTTGACCAAATCTGGGAATAAAACTTTTTCAGTGACCTGTCATATGTGCAGCTTCCTGCATACATCAAATTTACAACTCAAGATCTGGATATTCTGGCATATACATATTGTGACATGTTGCACAGTGGAGGACAAACCCTCCCTCCCCCAGCAGTGACATGGCAGCTCTGGCCACGGTGACGTAGCCCCCCCTGGGCTACGTGGCACCGCTTCCTACTGTGACGAGGCACACAATGCGCGGTGACGTAACATGGCGTGAGGCAACAGCGGTACCAATTACGTAACAGGCAAGCGCTGCGACTGTATAAGGGAACTACACAGCTGCCACAGTCAGTTAAAGTGTATCAGCGGCCGAAGACAGTTCTCTAGCCAGCAGGGAGTCAGTTAAAGTGTACCAGCCGCTGAAGTTAGTTCTCAAGACAGCTGCCTACGAGTTGAATTGAATTGTGGTAGTCGCTGAGTTTAGTTGTAACGTGTGTAAACCCATAACATTGTAATTAATTATAGCTGATACTTGTAGGTTGTTAAATAAACCAATTAACAATCCGAACGGCGTCTTCAGTAACGAAACACGTTACAATATGATATGCAAGTGTCTGAAGTTAATTCTAAGGTGCCCTTGATATGTGCAACACTGATGACAACTATGAAGATGGATGATGGCATGTGTTAATGATGCAATATTTTGTGCTTATCAGAAGCCATATTGGTGGTTTGTTTCCTTGCTCATTAGCTAAGCTAGGATTGTGTGTGAAATTAGTAAGGGTAATATTAGTGAGCTTTATTATGTACAAAAAATCTACCATGTGGTTAAGTTGTGGCAACTTAACCACATGGAATTTTTTGGAAAGGGGCTCAGGTGGAGATGGTTAAGGATTATATCCAATGGTGGTGTTATTGGTGTTGAGCATTCAGCTTCTACTGTCACTGTTAGCTAAAATTGCTCACTCATGTTTCAGCATGCCTTATTCAGTGAAGAACTATAGAATGGACATAATCAGTAATGTAGAAGTTTAGGTCATTTCAGAGGATTTGGTTAATTCTGACTGTAAATTTTTAAATTATGCGATATTCTTTATACTACACAGAACAAAAAATATGCTTGTGTATCACATGTTTAGCTGTCCCCAGTCAGCTTTGTATCGGGTATTACCATTTTGTCGGTGCTGTAATTTATGATAGTGTGGAATGTGTGAGGAAGAGTAACCATTTCTTCAGTTTCACTGGATCATCTGTATTTGAAACATAACATAGTTGTACGTGTCCAGTGCAAATATATTAGCATGACTACAACGCGATACTTTTTAGGTATGTAGATAAGGTTCTGATTTTAAAGTTACCTGTTCATTCAGGCTTGCATACTTATGATTTCAAATTCCCTTTGTCATAGATAGTGGTATCTGGTAGTTACAAAACCATAATACACGAGTGAGGCTACAGCTTGTCTTTATCAGGTACCTGGACAGGGTTTTGGAATTTGAATGTCTAGTTCTGTACTGTGTGTTGAGTTGGAATTCTGTTTGTCACAGATGGTGTATCTTGCCTTGGATGGTTGCACAGCTTGGAGGTAACAGGAGCACATCATAGTTGCAGTTACNTGTTCATTCAGGCTTGCATACTTATGATTTCAAATTCCCTTTGTCACAGATGGTGGTATCTGGTAGTTACAAAACCATACTACACGAGTGAGGCTACAGCTTGGCTTCATCAGGTACATGGACAGGGTTTTGCAATTTGAATGTCTAGTTCCGTACTGTGTTGAGTTGGAATTCTGTTTGTCACAGATGGTGTATCTTGCCTTGGATGGCTGCACAGCTTGGAGGTAACAGGAGCACATCATAGTTGCAGTTACTCTGTGAGGTACATAGATGGGGTTCTGAATTTGCAGGCTCACTCACTTATATGAGGTCATCTGGTATATATAGGTGGGCTGTTTGCAGTCTAAAAATTGGAATGAGAAGTCTTCCAGTCTCAGTCCTCAGTGATCTCCAGGACATAAAGAGATGACTAGGATGACCGTTGTACATGCTGTTTTCTTCTTAGGTACTTCTGTTGACTTTTATTAAATTAAATTTCAAGAAAACTGGTATGTTCTTACACTGTAATCTGTAATAATTACAGCTGTGTGCCTATATGTTTTCCACACTTTAATACAGCTCAAAAGTAATATGCAACCAGAGTATCACATGCTTTCACAGCTCTTAGGACATGCAACAAATTATTTCTGAAATGGGTAGTAATCTAATCCTGAATTATATTGAAATTTATGTTTATCCACTTTCTTGCTTTCTTCTATCATCTTCTGGACATCCTTCCTGAAAATAAATAAAATTCACCTGCTTGAGAACACATTTTCTAATAAGACATTCTTCTGATGTATTAAGAATAAACTCACTGTTTCTACAGTTTGATCATACCAGAGCATCCTGAAAATAACTGAACCACTCATCTGGAAAAGGCTTATGTTCTGTCTGGCTAATCAGGCTGCAGAAATTGGACTGCTAGTGGACTCAACAAGCCTACTGTCTAACAAATTATAAATAAAACTTAACCAGATTACAGAAAATGCTGGATCTGATCTGTCAGGAGAATGTTGAAGCCTAGAGTAAAGCTGATTTCATCATTATTTTGGGGGGGGGCACTTCATGAAAATCTGTCAAGATGCCTTGCAGAGGGACCAGAACTGGAATTATCACGTTTAGTGTATTTTGGGGTGGCACATTTATGTACATGAGTGGGAAATTTTTATGGAGGTGCCAGCAATGTGTGCACAACAGAGCATTTCCAGCATCCACTGTAATCTGGGTTTTATTCATAATTTGTTAGATTAAAGGCTTGTTGATTCTCCTAGCCTTCTACCCTGCCTTTCATTACCATGTATACAAGAGTCTGCCACTGGTTCCTAACCTCAGCCAGATGAATCCAGTTCACACCCTCCCAACCCATTTCCTAAAGATACATTTTAATATTTTCTTTCCATCTGTGCTTGTATCTTCCAAGTGGTTTCCTCCCTTCAAGTATTCAAGTAAAATGTTGTATGCATTTCTTACCCTTCCCAGCTCATCTCTTTGATTTGATCACCGTAATATTTGATGAAGAGGACAAACAATGAAGTTCTGCAACATGCAGTATTCTCCAGCTTTCTGTTACGTCCTCTCTCATGGGTCCAAATACTCTTCTTAGCCCCATGTTCTCATACACCCGCAGTTTTGTAGTTATAATGTTTCATACTTTCATTTTTATGTTTTTATGCAGTAGATGGGTACAGCATTTCAGTATTAAATTTATCAGACTAAGAAAGTTTAAATTTGTGCTGGGTCATCAGTGGCATTAAAGGAATATGTGGGAGCTGTGTGTATGAAGACTTGGTTGCACTGCCCTCTATGCTGTGTATCTGAAAAAGACGATTATGAAATCATTCCCTAAAGCTGGCATATACCTGTAGGCTGGTGGCAGTATTTCTTCATGCAAGGTGCACTCAAATTCTTCTGGTGCCTCCACTTTGAAGATCCTTCGCCTGATAATATCCACATCTCGACCATATTCCTCCTCCAAGTCATGGAGAGATGCTGGTGGGCAAATAAATTGAAAAACAAAGTAACTGTAACAAAAGTTTAACAGGTTAGTCTCACTCTAAAAAATGTAAAACAAAATAATCTTATATTTAAGCATCCTGTTGCATTACTATATTCAACCTTGTTTACATACAATTGTCCATCAATAATGCAACTATTTATTTTTTCATTCACATTTGCTTTTGCTATTAACACTTTCAAACATTTCTCACCCCCAAACAGTCATCTTCAGGTGTCCCATTATGCCAAACCTGCTACACTGCACTGGGTATTGTCCATTCCACATGCATGTAACTGAACATTTCACAATTAAAATGTTACAATTGCACTCAACTGCTGTGCATTAAATCTTACATGTTACAGTTCACTCCATTTAAAATCAATTAAAAATCGTTAAAATTTTTAATAATATAAAACTCATAATTCCACCTCATACGGGGCATCATCCACTTGTCTAAGCAATATACCCTTCTTTGGTTGTTCATGTTGCAGCGGCTCACCCTCTCCATATGCAAGCCCACTGTTATGTTTTGTCTGCAATCTGTGATGTGTAAGAACCCACATACTGATATTGTTTTTGATTGTTGTTATTAGTGTTATGTTTTGTTTGTTTACGCTTGTACACACTTTGCCCCTTACTTGTCCTTGTTCCCACAAGCCCCTATTTGTTTTCAATTGTTGTTATTAGTGTTATCTTTTGTCTGTTTACCCTTATACACACTTTGCCCCTTACTTGTCCATTGTTTCCACAAGCCTCTATGGTGTTGTCTTCATGTGCACAGACGTTATGCTAATGCTATGTGTATGTAGTGTGTTTGCTTCCATATTTATATGTATCATGGTTGTGAAGGGTGGGGGGAGGTGGGGTATGTAATGTTATTTTGTGTAATTCTTTGAATATGGGATTGTGTGCATCAATACTGGTATCGTTCATGTGTAGGTTTTCTCTACTGACTTTGTAAATATGGTACTTTTCAAGTGTATTCAAATATATTCCCTGCCTCCCTATTGTTATAATTTCCATAGTGTCTTCTGTTGTTCCATAAGTGTGTCCGATATACAATATGTGATTACCTGTTCGTCCAACATACTTCAATGGACAATCCAGGCACATTATTTGATAAATTCCACTTCTATTATATTTTCCTATCTGTGGCTGTGGCCTTAATATGTTCTGTATTGTGTTTTGCGTATGGAAGGGCACACTTTTATTCTCATGTCTTGAAGAAGCTTTGTGATTCCTCTTATTTCCTTGCCACTATATGTAAAGGTAACCCACTTTGTTTTTTGTTCCTGCGAGTCAGTGTGTGTACTTGCTTTTGTTTTTTCTGGGTGGGTAATTTATTGTAGTTTGTGTCATACTTGTTATTATGTAATATGTTTTTAATTATATTCTTTTCTGCATCCTTTGCTTTTCCTGTTAAGGATAAGTATGTAATTGATTTAATAAATAGTTAATACCAGATATCTTATGTTCATATGGGTGGCTAGAGCTATTTGGTATTATAATGTCAGTTTTTGTAAGTTTCCGATATATCAAAAACTGCAAATTTTTGTCATTCTGATGCATTACGAGACCTAGGAAGTTAATGGATTTGTGCTCTTCTTTTTCTATTGTGAAGTTTATGGTTGGCTGTAGTTTGTTAAATTCATTAAGTGTGTGGTCAATGTTTGTTTTGTTTTGATCCCATATTATCAGTATGTCACTGACATATCTGAAATACGTGATTATGTTATTTTATTAGGATGGGATATATTTGTGTATGTTCCATATGTTGTATGTATGTTTCCTCCAGTATTGATCAATGTAAATGAAGAAATAAATAGTTGCATTAATGAAAGAAAATTGTGTGTAAACAAGGTAAAACAAAAACACTGAAACCAACTTGTATTAATTTTTAAATGCCATGTGAAACAGAGCTTTGCTGTGTCAAATATAAATGTTATATATTATAAAAGGTTAATAGCCCCTACTGCACTAGTAAACTTAACAATCCCAGCAAACATTTAAACACTATTCAAGAAGGTAACCATCAGAATCTTAACACTGTTCTTTTCACTACAACCCTGAATCCAGGACATCCAGTACTTAGGATAAAATTATGGTGACAGGTGAAATATGTAGCTATGAGGGTCTATCAGTAAGTTTTCAAGTTTAAGGTTTTTTATTATAATCCCTGATATGAAAAATGCAGTTTTCATATCATGGGATGAGTTTTCAATTCCCTTTTGGTAGAAGTCTGTGCCCTTTTCTTAGATTACTGTTCCAGTTAAGTAGCCATGTTCAACTGATTTGTATACACACTATGTGGTACATCGCAGGTGAATCAATGTGCAGTGTTCCCAGTGATGATTAACAAATCCCTCTCATGCACCCACAGTAAATGCAGGTCCTTGGGTTGCGAGATCATATGCCTTGTAAATTTACTTTCTGAACATCCCATGTAATATCCATTTAGTCTTCTGAAATCTGGGATGATCATATTTTTATGTTACTTCACATTACAGTTTTCTATTGTACCATAAACAGGTATATCCTACAGGTTCATATATACAAAGTCTACTTATGCATTTTTTGACAAGAACATACTGGACAAAGAAAATGTATCATGAAATATTCATCTTATATTTGTGTGAAATATCCTTTGACCTAGTACAAAAAACTGCTAAGAATCTGTTTACACCTCATCAAAAGTGATCCTCCATGCTAACTAATATGACCACTATTCACTTTATTAATGATTTTCACTATAGAGTATCATTCATCTCCATTTGTCCAGAGTGAGCTTATTATGTGCATACAGGACAGACAAGTGGAGATGGCAAGGCCCACATATGCTAAAGCAGTAAGGAGTGAACATTTAATGTTTATGTGGCTGTCTTTGTTATTCATGGCTGTCAACACTAATATGTAAAACTCTTATTTAAAATCTAGACTTTATAAATATTTTGAATTTGGCATTTCCTCTAGGCCAGAGGTAATGGTTATATTTCCACAACCTGGTTCCCTAGGCTTCATTCATGGGAACAGGCTATACTGAATGAAGATGCAATTTGAAGGCATTAATTAAATTGGACATTCTGGTTTATATGTGGGGGCTGATGATGACAGCAATTTGAAAATATTTATAGTGCATTACTGGGTAGTGCCTGGCATGGAAAGACATAAACAAACTCCACAGTTCTGGGTGTACTTATCTTCTATACATTGTATGAAATAAATTAAATTATTAGTTTCGTCGTGGTTAGCCTGTTACTTCACAACATGTGGACTACTTACATTTTTTGAGTTCAGAATGTAATTATTGTATATTGTGAAATGTTGATGTATTTAGCTTTCTGAGTAAAACTATAGTAATAAATGCAAAGTTTGCGATACTGAGAAACTTCATATATCAAGATATTGTATTCCATATTTGCTCACCTTCCTTTCTTGTGCACTGCATCATGGGCAGACATCTTGTAAGGCAGGTTTCGTGTGCCAAGGTTCTCTACCTTTCGAATAATACCACCCTTATTAAATATGGCATCAGCCGAGCGTCGTAAAGTAGATAAAAGATCGGGCTGAAATTAAATTAAAACACTTTCAATAAAAACTATTAAAGTAAGCATGAGTCTACATTCTGCAATGACAGCTCATTTTAAATTTCATGCCAAAATAAGCATGTAAATGAAATATTCAACCTTTGTTCTGTTCTGTAACATAAAGTGTATATATATATATATATATATATATATATATAAAGAGAGAGAGAGAGAATAGAGCAACCCATATATCTGTTCCATAACTTTCAATCCCACCAGTATCTCCACTTAATGATCAGGAAATCATAACTGGGGTGATTTATTATACCAGACTGGAAAAATTATAACAAACTGTACCTGCCTGTTTAACTTAGACATAAAGGCTGTAAAAATATGAATTACACTGGCTAAGATTTCTGTGATAAGCAGTGAAGAACCTTTAGATCTGTAATAGCAAAGGCTACCTTATTCTGCACATTACCTATTAACTACCCTATAAGTTAAGTTTTATTTATACTTGCTACTGCTAACTAGTTACAAATTAACAATCATATATTTGTTACACAGTTACTGCTTACACGTGACATGATCCTGAGCACCAAAGCCGCTTCATAATTTGGCATTTCTCTGAACGATCAAAAATCTTACGTCTACTGTATAATTATATGCAGGAGAAAAACCATAACCCAATACAATCAACAGGCAACACCATGTTGAAATTACGCCCACATCGTCAACCAGTCAGTCACTACCGGCAACCATGACGCAGAGCTTGAAATTTCCCTTTCCCGATTGAAATTTGTATACAAATAGTGCTCTTGTTTCAATCCCTTTGTTCACGAGGACTGCCACTTTATTCCGGAAATGAATTTAGTCATTACCTAAGCAGCAGGAAAGAGTGAACATGGATGGACGTTAGTTATTTTCTAACTTTTGATTCCAGTTTTGCTTACGCAGTTCACGCGTCAAGTAAACTATATAGCCGTTATTCTGTTTGAGATTATCAACGGCGAGTTCAGGCATATAACGCCGACTAGTCTTGTGAAAGCCAACCGACGTTTCGGAGAAACATATCGTCCCCATCTGCAGGGTGTAAGAATAAGCCAAGATAATATTGTTCCCTGCTTCATGCTGGTTTCTTGCTTGACCCTGAAGATGGAGGCGATATGTTCCTCCGAAACGTCGGCTAACTTTCACCGGCCTGCATGTCGTTATATCTCAGAAGATAGAACTGAACGCAGCCTGTGACGGTAACTAAGCCGTCAAGAAGCTTTCTACAATTCTATGCACCCCTTCCCCTCCCCATCTGGTACCCTGCTTTTATTACTTCATTCCAAAAAATAAATATTTCGAAGCAGTGCATTTTTTTTACAGTTGGTATGCATACTGGCAAATAACTGTTGTGCAGACAGTTATCAAAAGTCAAAAGTCGCACATCTGCCAGTGCATTTAATGTTTCCACCCTGAGGCTAAAACCGAGCGAGAAAATACCGGTTAACGCTTTTTTGGACAAGAAAGGGTGGCGTTGTCTCGAAGAAACTGCTGCCGTTGCGCAAAACTTGCAGGTTTAATAATACCCGCATGCTTTTTTGTGTATGTGTTTGTACTCGCCTAAATAAATGATGAAGGAAGTGGAGTTGAGAAGGAAAATAGTATATGAGATTAAAGCAAGGAAAACAAACGCAGTGACAAATAAGAAAGCGGTATACAGGAAGCAGCCATTTCTTCCTGACATAGTCGTTTATCGGACTGTAATCATTCTTTATTCACGAACGGGTTTGTGGCTGCTGTGGGGGGCGTACACAACCTAAGAGAGGGGTAACACGCGTCAGAATTACAGTTACGAGCAGCGTTAAATTATTTATGCATAAATGAGTGTCTACTGCAAATGGAGTTGTTTACTGCTGTTCATCGTACTTATTTCTTTCAATATCTAGATAGAAGTAGATTTTACTTACCCTTCAATATGATATAACTGTTACATCCACGCGCTTCTACACAAGCGTCAAACAGGCATTTCCGTATCCGGTTTGTTCTGGTATCTTCTAAATAGCAAAGGAAGAGACAATCGTAAGAAAAAAACAGAAAGAAAAGAAAGTGAACAAGAGGAGGTAACTTTCTTGATCTCTCACAATAAACCAAGAACATAGATTGGAAGTAAAGACGGGCTCTTTCCCCCGGGCTAAAGCGGTCAGGGCATCAAGTGCCTAGGTTAAGAATGTAGATAATTCAATTTCTCCGTATGTCTTCATGGTGTGACGTTAATTAAGCACATGGACGAATTTGTCTTTACATAGACCGAGGAAGTTTGTGAACAGGGTGCTGTGGAAAATATTTGGACGTAAGAGGGAGAAAGTATCAGAAGGCTGGATGATATTACATAATGAGGAGCTCCATAACTTGACCTCTTCACTAGGTATTATTTATCTGTTGTACGGCCGTAGCCTACTCATTATACTGACTGAACTACCCAAACCAATTAACAATACGTAGCAGCCACCTTATTGAGAAGCTGATAGTTGCTCAGCTAGTCAAGAAATTCCCAGCCTTTTGTGGAACACAAAGTTTCAGTAGCGAACTCACAAAACCTTTCCACTGAATCATATCCTGAGCAGGATGACTCAAGTTCACATCGCCACTTCCTCGTTCTCTAAAATTCATTTTGTTGCTACCTTCCCATCTGTATCTAGATCTCTGATGTATAAAAATGAATGGAGTAAATCCGGCTTTTCGGACTAAGGCATTTGTGGGATTTTACAGCGCAACCTCTGGGATAGGAGGTTCAAATCCGTCTCGGGGGTTGAATTACCGTCTGCGGTACATTGTCCTTTGCTGGTAGCAGGCTTCTGTGGGGCCTATTCCCCGTCCATTGAGTACTACATAAATGAAAACAAACTCCGTGACCTGTAGTCCGCAAGCGAACTATACCGACCGATCGACCGCCGCTTGTCGGCGAAGTTAGTGCCAATTTTAACGGAGAGAGGGCGTCACGTGGTCAGCGCAACGGATCCCCACAGCCGTTAATTTCGGTTTTATAGACCGGAGCCGCTATTTCCTTGAAATAGCCTCTCAATTATCCACACGAGGCTGAGTGGACCCCGTTCCAGACCCACTACTTCTCAGAAAATCTGGTAGCGCCGGAAACCGAACCCGGGACGTCAGGATCTGTAGCCAGGAACGCTGACCACTAGACCACAGAGGTGGTCCTTGAGTATTACTACACGTGAAAATTATTCCTTGTTCTGGAAGGGACAGAGGAACTAATCCATGCAAGTTGAAGAGCAAACACACAAATAAATAATAAATCTACTTATATATCTGTGTACCTGTCTGCCTATTACAGGCGAGACATGAAAGAAGGTCGAATAATGAAAAAAAAAACAAGCAGTCCCACGAACAGGATTTCCCTTGTTTTCACGTCATGGTGTGCGGGTGTGATCGATAGACGGTGTCCTGTTCTCAGTGCAGTGCGTGTTTCAGCATGGCAGCACGCAGTGCCCTGGCCACTGCTTTCCTTTCAGTGTGTCAGGAGTTCTTCTTTAACACCGGCATACATGGCCTCAAATACGTCACAGAGAGCGGTCGTCGTAACATTGAGAGGTGACAGAAGAAAATTAATATTTTGTAATTAAAAAACCAATCTTGCATTCTATTTGCGTCCAAACCGTTTCGTGCACCGAGCCTCCACGGCCTTCAGGCAGTATTAGACTTAGGAGTGGACAATACATGTAGAAGGTTCTTTCATGGGTACAGGTACTAATAGCGGATACAATTAAAAAAAGACGTGGCTTTATTCCGCAAGCAAACTATACCGACCGAGCGACCGCCCCTTGTCGGTGAAGTTAGTGCCAACTTTTGCGGATAGAGAGTGTCGCGTGGTCAGCGCAACGAAACCCCACGGCCGTTAATCTCGGTTTCCTAGACCGGAGCTGCCATTTTTCCATTCAAGTAGCTCCTCAATTATCCTCAAGAGGCTGAGTGGACCCCGTTTCAGACCCACTACTTCTCAGAAAACCTGGTGGCGCCGGGAATTGAACCCGGGAACTCTGGGTCTGTAGGAAGGAACTCTGACCACTATGCCACAGAGGCGGTCTTGCGGATACAAATAGGATAAGAAAAAATGGCAGTTTGTCTGAAAGAAGAAAAGCCTAAGATCAGTACTTATTGGATGAATATGAGTGACGCTAGTTAGAAAACTACATATGAAAAAATAATAATGTTTGCTGTAATGTTTATCGTTGTGGCCAAGCAGCAGCGTAGTTGGCCGGGGCACTATGTTAAAATCCAGAAGGTCGCGGGTTCGATTCCAGATGAGGATACTCGATTTTTTCAATTGATCTAATACTTCCAGTCGCGATATGGCCCTGAGGTCGACTCAGTCTCTAACAGAAATGAGTACCAGAAATCTTTCTGGGGGTAAAGGGCTGCTGGCCCCTAATGCTGACAATCTCACGGCCGTCTGTGAGCCGACTGTCTAGAAAATGCGGAAGCCTCGATGTCTCACAACCCTATTGGCTTCCACGGCCTGCAGGGATAGCTTTACCTTACCTTTACCTAATATCTGCTTATAATTGTATGTCATTCTTCGGGTGGAGAGAACATTAGATTACGCAAACGCATTAATGGTCTACATTTTTATTCATTTATATATTTTTTGACATTTTAACAAGTTTCATAAGTAAATAAAAGAAGTTTATGTGCCGTGTGTGTGTTTATATATATATATAACACGATTTGTTTCTATTACACATACATAGAAAATTTTCCTCTTCCAAAACAATGTGTCGGGGCGAACATGCACAAGAAATGCCGTGAGTTTGTCTGCCTTTGCTTTTGATAGACAGCCGCACTCACCTAAAACAACCAGTAAAATCGCATGTTGTAGATAGTACAAATATTTTAATCTTGAAATTTTTACGTTGGAGTCGGAAACAGAAGATTACAAATTGAAGAGCAAAAACATTTTTCGAACTTCGTCTGTTGTTACTTTAAAGTACTTCACTAAACATTACTAGGGACGTCAAATTCAGCAGTATTGTGTGGACATACATGTATCACGCATAGAAGAGGTGGCAGCTGTACAGCACTGCAGTTGTAAAACCTGAAGGGTAGATGCCACTTGAAAGACAGGATAATATTGAAAAGGTTCTTGAAGAAATAGGATATGAGAGTATGGACTGGACTCATCTAACTCAGGATAGAGCCAAGCGGATGATTCTTGTGAACACGGCAGAATATCTAGGGTTTCCGTAAATGATCAGATGAATGATTAGTATGAAGAAAGCAGTCTTCTGGAATTTGGCACCGTGTATATGTGGTGTTAACCGATGTTTCGGAGGAACGTATCGCCTCCATCTTCAGGATAGAAGGAAAAATATAAGAAATCCGCAAGCGAAGAGACCGTGAGAACCGGTAAAAGCAGATGAAGGCGATACGTTCCTCCGAAACGTCGGTTAACACCACATATACACGGTGCCAAATCCCAGAAGACTGCTTTCTTCATAGTCACCGCCGTGAAAACCTAAAATTTTACAGAATGATTAGTAGTTTTCCAAATAAACCTCTGAACCATTAAGATTAGTTTAGTTTCGTCAGTTAATCTCTTTTATAATGAATAGGCGATAATTCCGGCAAGCCCGATTTTTGGCTGTCAGGTAATTTCAGTTTCTGTTTCTCAACAGAGTGTTGTGGGCGATTGTGGTATTGCTGGGCCTGGTTGGGGCTAGCTTCATGGTCAGTAGTCTGTGGGCCCGCTATGTGGGCACCCCAACGAGAGCCAGTGTGGAGACGAATCATTACCCAACATGGCGCCTGCCCTTCCCTGCCGTCACTCTCTGCAACGCCAATAGAATCTTCCGGTCCAAGGCAGAGGCTCTTGTTTCCGAACTGTGAGTTATGAACTCTAAATAAAACAGAGATTAAAACAGCCAAGAATAAGCTTGACCATCGCTCTTTTATCTTCTGTAAGCTTATCTCAATTATCCTTACCTTCAAGACTGGGGCACGGTGCCCTGTTTCATTCTGTCCAGTCCATAATTCGCCATTCTTACACTTTCTGTGTCCTTGTGGATCATTATTAAAAAAGTCTCCATGTTCAGGCTTTTTTTCCATCTTTTCACCATGTTCCCGCCATTAAACCTAAGTCACTTTATTGCACTAATCCTTCAAGGTGATGCGACGAAGCGATTTATTTTAACCTAAGAGCGAGGCTAAGCTAGGAGCGAGAGATGCGAAATGAGGTAAAGGCAAAAAGGAAAAGTTATTTCCGTGCGTAATTAATTATTACTCCACGAAAAAGAGGGTAGTGGTAGCGTAGTTGGTTGAGGCATTATGCTATAAGCTGAAGGTCGCGGGTTCGATTCCCGATGAGTTCATTGGATTTTTAAATTGACCTAATACTTCCAGCCACACTATGGCCCTGAGGTCGACTCAGTCTCTAACAGAAATGAGCACCAGGAATCTTCCTGGGGGTAAAAGGCTCATAAGACTGATAACTTAACTGCTATCTGGGAGCCTATTGTCTAGAAAAGGAGGGAGCCTCGACGTCTCACGAATATGGGCCTCCACGGTCTGCTACAGGGATAGCTTTACATTTTTTTTTTTTACCTTTTATTACGCCATGAGAGCGTTTGGGGAGTGCAGGTATAGCTCTATCATTCGCGACCTCGGCACTAGATGGAGCTGAGTGGTCAACTTCACCCCCCTTACGATTTACCTGAGGGGCACTATCACCCGTATTTATTGCATAGGAAGCTGGGCTGGTCCTAGAACAGGCCTGGACACTATGGGGACGAGAAAAATATCTTATCTCAGCCAGAAATTGAACCTGAGTCCTCGGTCATCCCGCCTCTGGCCTAGTCGCTATACCGACTGAGCTATCCTGGTTCCCACTTTCACAATGTGTAACGTAATACTTCATTTGTTCTCTTCACTGAATGTTACTCGGGAAGTTTGAGGCGGAATGGGCATTAGGAATATTTGGGAGACATGAGAAATGCATACATAATGCAAGTTGGGAAATCAGTTGGGATATATAGGCACAGGTGGGAGGATAATATTAAAGCGGACAAGTTATGAACGTATTTTGGATTCATATTTTTCAGGATAAGAGACAATGGCGAACTCTTGTGAACATGAAAATGCCGGAGAAATTCGTAAGCAGCTGAACAATTTCTAGCTTGTCAGGAAGGACACAACTCCATTGACTTAGCCTTCTAATATGCAGTTCCAGAGTTCGGGCAATCATATTCTGAAATAGGGACGTCATGCATGCATTGACTGCCAGAAGCCTTGTTCTTTTCATAATTCTAGAAGACTGCCGAAACACATGTCTCGTGAGGGCGCCCTGCAGAGGCTCTCCCTCCTAGGAGAGCTGATAGACCCAGATCCGGGACGCAAGGCGACGTTCAGCACAGAGGAAATAGCTGAGTTCCAGAAGATCCTCACGGACGGCTCTTACACTGTGCGGCGGCTTATGGGCGCGGTGGGTCCTGCAGCAGCCTCGCCTTGGTTTCTAAACATAAGGTTTATGGTCCTCAGGAAGGGGGGAAGATATTAATAAAATGTTCAGATTACGGCAAATGTAATGCCCACGGGAAAGATAGAAATGAATACAAGCATTTGTCAGAACAGCTGAAGATGAATGGCAGCTCGGTAAACCAATCTGTTGATCGGAGGGTAATATTAGAGTTTTAAAGAATATCAAGTTGTCCCTGTTCTTAATTAGTAAAGCACTATGCCACGAAGACATACGTGGCAATACAGGTATGGCTCCACTATTCGTGATCTCGGCACTAGATGGAGGTGAGGGGCCAGCTTCACGCTCCGGCTGCTTTACTTCAGGAGAAAAGGAGGCGGGGTGAGCCCCGCAGCTGGTCTGGACATTGTGGATAAGAGAAAAATCTTGCCTCTGCTGGTATTCGAACCACAGCCGTCCAGCCCGTTGCCCATCGCTGTACCGACTGAGCTATCCCGACTCCTAATATTACAATTGATCTTATAGAAACAGGGCACGATTTTGTGGACATGGTTCATCTGGCTCAGGATAGGGGCCAATAGATGCCTCTTATAAACCCTGCAGTCAACCTCCGGGTTCCATATGAGGGGTAGAATGTTTTGACTACCTATGCGACTACTAGCTTCCAAGGCAGGATTCCACTCCGTATATTTGATAGGGAATGATCAGTTGTGTATGCCTGCAATCTCCTACAATATGTTTCGAAACAAGTGAAGGATTTTAATGAATACCATGTCCAGTTCCATTCTTGCATTTTATAAATTCCTACATCAGTACTGCCTACATGGCGGCTACACGGCCTACTCTGTAAGAATCAATAATATTCTGCTTATCCAGCACCAAAATCCATTACGAAGGCCGTAATTTCATTTAACCATTTACTCAACGTGACCTATTAACTTAGATCTATTTAAAGTAATTTGAAATATTTAGAATTAACTCTCAGAATTATCGCAAGTCCCTTCAGTGTCACTATAATAACATGTGTTCAGTAACAACGCATGTAAAGTGCTTTTTTGTAATGTTGGTTTGCATCCTGATGATGTACACAAATGGCTGAAACATGTAAGGCAAAATGATTTTACTTTCGTTATTAAAATGGTTATATTGTGGTCTAGTGGTCAGAGTTCCTGGCTACAGATCCAGAGGTCCCAAGTTCGATTCACGGCGCTACCAGATTTTCTCTTGAGGATAACTAAGGAGCTATTTCAAGGAAAGAGTTGCTCCGGTCTAGAAAACCGAAATTAACGGCCGTGAGGATTCGTTGCGCTGACTACGCGACCCCCTCTATCCACTAAAGTTGGCACTAACTTCGTCGACAAGCGGCGGTCGCTCAGTAGGTATAGTTCACTTGCGGACTAAAACCACGGAGTTTATGATTCTGTATTTCAGCATCCCGTTGCAATTGTTCAAATTAGCGTCTATTGTTTATCTTCGGTCAAATTTGCAACACTTTTACATTCTACACTTCAACACTACCTGTTTCGGCCTCAAACAGCCGAGAAAAACAACTTGATACATTTACAAAAATGACGACACCCCGGGTGAGGTGAAATAATATGAAACAGAAATTTTAAAGGATTTTATCTCGTTTTACTTAAAAAGAAGAGTACAGCGTGTGATTTTAACACGAATTAAGACACTGTAGCAGTTTTTAACACAGTTTTAGTAAGATATCTGTAACATAAAAACACCTGAAGATTGCCATTTGAGGCCGAACCACGGAGTTTGTTCTTTTTGTTTATATTTGATAGATTTATACCATTTAATTATAGGCTTTACGAGTAAGGTAAGACCTTTCCTTTACTGAAGCAGAAGAAAACGTTTGAAAAACCATCGTGTTCAAGTTATTGTTGCGATTTCAGCTTGGGCAGAGCTGTGGAGAATTGCTGGAGCGCTGCATGTGGGAGGGAACTATCTACAACTGCTCTGTTCTGTTCGAGGAACGGAAATCTTACGATGGTTTCTGCTGCTCGTTCAACTATCGCGGAGTGATCGAAACGCAAACGTAAGTGATACAGAAGCAACGCATTAGCCCTGGCAGTTTTTGCCTCTGGGAAAAATATTTATAGATATAAAAATGCCACTAAGTTGTTGACTTAATTTTTTGAAGTTGGTTTCAGCTGAATTTCATTTCTTACGAAAGAATTTCATTTGTTCCAACAAACGTGTTTGCCTTTAGTAAGATGGTGAATGCCTCGGACAGTGAGTACTACTAGGCTCCTTGGAACTAGCATTTTTCATCCTATCAACGAATTACCCACTCTTGGCGCTACAATGGTTAAGAGCAGGCAGCCGTCGCAAGTCTGAACCCCATTGGAATGTAATCGTATATGCCGATCCATTCTTCCTGGATATCTTGAAACGCAGATCCAGATTTCTAATTCACTGAAACAGGGTCTGTCCTCAGTAGTGGACATTGTATGCATTGAAGAAAGCAGTCTTCTGGGATTTGGCACCGTGTATATTTGGTGTTAACCGCTGCAGACTGCTTTTACCGGTTCTCACGGTCTCATCGCTTGCTGATTTCTTATATTTTTCCTTCTACTCTGAAGATGGAGACGATACGTTCCTCCGAAACGTCGGTTAACACCACATATACACAGTGCCAAATGCCAGAAGACTGCCTTCTTCATAGTCACCGCCGTGAAAACCTCAAATCTTACATCTGTATGCATTTGTTATTCCCTACATCCAGACTACATATCAGGTCCAGCGTAACATGGTTGATGTCACTGCTCGAACAATATTAGAAGACTTATGTAAATTGCTAAGTTATCATTCTGTGACATGCAAAATTGCCCATTTTCCATCACTCTCATTTCCCTGTGACCTACCTCGGCCTTGACAATTTTTATTAGACCTACTTCAAATTATCGTGGGAAATGAATATCTTGCCATATAGTACTGTCACAATTTTAGTGACTATAGACAGGGTTTGGATTGATGACAGGATCTGTTGGACTCTTTGATATAGCGTGTGACTACATTTTACATTACATTGTTACACACACACACTAGTATCCACAGTCACGTCTTCACTGCCCCAGTGTCACTTTGTCCACCACAAATCCCACATGGCCTGACCTGGGCTCGAACCCGGGCCGCCGAGGTGTGAAGCCGGCGAACAACCGCCTGAGATGTGGCACGGTCGATGTGCTTAAAATCTTGTTAGTTTAATCAACAACGATTTCAACTGGTAACATTTCTATGTAGTGAGAACTGAGATGACGATTAGAGAGTGATTTAGAAGAGAGGCAGGAGGAAGCGGCCACAACCTACTTTAAAATACTAGCCCGGCATGATATGAGCTGGCGGGACTGAGGAAATCCACGAAACACCTCAGAATAGGCTATCTCTGGCCTGAGAACTGAAGGCAGAATATTCCGAAAGAGAAAGAGGAGCGCTAGGCACTCGATATAAATAAACACCTGACTTTCATTTGTCCCCCTTAAATTTTTACATGTGATAAAGCTGTGGTCTAGTGGTCAGAGCTCCTGGCTACAGATCCTGAGGTCCCGAGTTCGATTTCCGGCGCTACCAGATTCTCGGAGAAATAGTGGGTCTGGAACGGGGTCCACTCATCCCCGTGAATATAATTGAGGAGTTATTTCAAGGAAATAGCGGCTCCGGTCTAGAAAACCGAAATTAAGGGCTGTGGTGATTCGTTGCGCTGACCACGCGACACTCTCTATCCGCTAAAGTTGGCACTAACTTCGTCGACAAGCAGCGGTCGCTCGGTCGGTATAGTTCATTTATGGACTCAAACCACGGAGTTTGCTTTGTTTGTTGTTTAATAAGGCTAAAGGTAAGTTTGTCCCTTCGCTTAATTAAGCACCACGCCATAAGTATAACTGGGGAGTAGAGGTATAGCACTACACATTCTTAACCTCTATACTAGATGGGGGCGAGGAAGCTCCACGCCCCGGCCGCTTTGTCACTGGGGAGGAGCCCCCGTGCCCATTGTGTGGTAAGTGGGTTGGCCTCAGAACCGGTCTAGATGTTGTGGAAAACTTTTGTCATTGCCGGGAATGGAATTCTCTATCTTCGGTCGCCAACTCCGTGTTGTAGTCTGTATACCGACTGAGCCATTCCAGCTCGCCTTTATGGTGTGGTGCTTAATTAAACACAGGGACAGACACAGTACCTTCACACGTATCGACTGTGCTGGGTTCGACGTCTTGTAGCTCTCGTGGTGTGCTGGAAGTGATGGCCCTACTTGGTATTGTTCCATCTGGCAGGAAGGACGGCAAGAAGACGCTGATTGTGCCCGTGCAGAACGAGGTGCGGTACACACGGTATTACAGCCACAGGATGGGCCTGACAGTTCTGCTGCACCCCGCAGCCCATGACTACTTCGTGGCCACTATGTACTCGACCGGAGTCAGGGTGAGCTGCTCGTCGCCACGAACCACGCTGTTATCAAAAGAGCAACGGCATTAATGCTAGCGAAACGTCTCATATTGTTTTGTTTGCCGTATTGCTGGCTAGAAGTCAACATGCGACCGGTTATTTCGACACGGGTTCTCTCTATTTTCCTCGGTTCCCAAGTTGCCATTGCGTGATTCTCATGCAACACTACCGAATTAAATTAATAAAAATTAAGTCTCATTCCTGCTAAAGCCACCAAAATTATTTTTCCCCAAATTATGTAGTTCGACATTAATTCATAAAATCAAAATTCAGTTGTCCTTATATCAAGGCACTTCTAACCGTTCTAACATTCTCACTTTCACTCCAGTCATCAAAAGGACGAGAGGGCGAAGCTTGGGAACTTTCTGACGAAACGATGATCCTTCTTCCTCCCCGAGGTACATTAAACTGGAAATAAGGAGATTCGTGTCACAAATCTCATATCAGCCACAGAAAAGTCTTTAAGACTTGAGATGTCTCATGTAATTTTTGAGTCCGCTTTGTGTTGCTTCTATTTTTATATCATTTTATCATGGTCATTCGTCAGTATTTTGTATACACGAAATGTCCATAGGTAAGGACGCAAGAAAAATATTGCCCTAAATCTGGGAAGGATGAAATTGAACCTGACACACGTAAATGTTTATGTGCATTTAATAATAATATTACTTCTTAATGAGCCCCGTTAAATCATACCTAGCATTAGAGAAAGTATGAAAAGTGGAAGAAGAAGAAAAAAAAAAAAGAAAAAGAAATATACTCGTATTTTGATCGATATGTATTTTTATTAATTTCTGGGCCCGTGGTACGTATATTTTTCATTTTCAATTTAGTATTTCCATAATTAGATATAAAATCAAATGTCTCCATTCCATAACTGAAGAATAATTGGAATTAGATATGTGAAATTTTGTAAGGAAAATGTTTTGTGGAAACAATCTTTGTATATTAATAATCACAAAGGGAAAAACGGTGCGAAACTTTGGTGCAATATCTGAAAATTTTCGTGAATTAGAATTTATATTAAATGACGTTATACATATCAATGTACAATTAATTTATAATCATTGATATACAATTACTTATGGCCACACCATACAGACCAAGACACTTGACGGAATGCAGGCTTCCTGAAGTCATCCTTACAGTTTGTTGTTAAATTATTGATTAATTTACAATTGGCGCAATTCTTAAATACTACGCATGCAGCTACAACCACTACCACCACCAGCACCCCCACCGCCAACAACAACATAAATCACATTTAATAAAAACCTCAGAGGAGATTAAATAATTCGCGGAATGCTTATGAGAATTAATTTAAGAATTGTCTTCCAATCTCATATCGAAGAAAAGAAATAAAGGATAAAAATCTTAACAAATTATACATGTTATTTTGTATAGTGGCGCTCGCTTTCTTACGTTAAAGGGAAAGCGTACATTGAGGATGCCTGAGAATAGGGTGTTGAGCAAAATATTTTAGCCCAAGAGACACGAAGTAATTTGTAGTACTTTGTACAAAATAATTTTTGGGTAATTAAATTAAGGAGATTTAGATTGGTGGGGGATGTAGCACGCACAGGAAACTGTAAAGATCATACAAAATATTATCGGATACAAAAAGGTAAGAGACAACTATGGAGACCTGAGTGTAGATGGGAGGATATTACTATAACGGTTCTGAAAGAAAGAAGATATGATTATGCACACTAAGATTATCTGACTCAGGATAGGTTTAAGTGGAGGAATCCTGTGGACACGGTAATTAACCTTCGAATTCCATAAACGGCACAGATCTTCCTCATAAATCGAAAGATTATTAGATCTTTAAGGAGGACTTTGCTCAGATAAGCTGAATTGTTAGTTGAACAGTGGTCACCTAATACATTTCAAAACTGTCTGCTCTAACATCAGTCTACAAAAACACAAAATTAAGTGTTAACCAAATTAAATTGGGAATAAAAACACCCCGTTAACACCCATGCCTTACGGGAAGTTAAAGCTAATCAAAATTCATTGCAAATGTTTGCTTCCACTTCCAACAAACACGTTAGATTTTTGTTGCAAATATCAGTGGGCTTTTAGCATTTAGGAAAGTAGCCGATGTTAATCCTGAAAACCAGACAAAACCCATCAATAAATTATGTGTGTAAACGTCAAGATAAACATGGAAGCATACTTACCACTGCGATGGCGTTGATTTATGCAGATGCTGGTACATAGGTCCGATGATTTCCCAGACGACACGGCCATAGAAAAGGCTCTGCCAGTGGGTCGCGAGGTGCTCCTCAGGGTGACACCTACGTCAGGCTATTGCACTGAGGCGGTGCGACAAGTGGACCCCAGCCTCAGGCAGTGCGTGTTTGAGTCGGAAGTGAAGCTGAAGTACTTCCCCGTGTACAGCGAGATCAACTGCATTACTGAGTGCCGCATGGACTACACCATTCACCACTGCAAATGCAGCCACTTCTATTATCACGACACTGGCAAGTATCATCAGCTTTCTTGCGCCCTCAACCATATTGTACCTGTCTTGCCCTCGATATGTTTTCGTTACGGCGTTAATGTGGTTAAGTAGACAGAAGCTGGGTGTAACCTCAAAAGAAACTAACTGCTCGACCATCTGGAACATCATTTTGCCCATATTAACTTCCCCTTCCTTTTCGCAGACGAATATGAGTTATTCTTTGGTTCTATAGCAATGGCTTTTCCACTACATAGGAAAAGGTTATGGACCAATAAGTCTACATCAATGCATGATACTGGAGTATTACCATGTATGGTGGCTAGGTACGGACTGGGGAAGTAGCTGCTGAAGCAAAAGCAAGCAACTTCAGTCACGTTAGCTGGCACCCTTGTCAAGATTCGATTTACTTGTCCCCTCAAAATAATTCCATAAGTCAACCTGTTTAGGCAGCCAACATTTAAAAACAGCTCAAAACTTCGAGCCAATTTTTGTAGAAAATCATCGTGGACTGAGGGGCAAAGTAGGAAAGAAGGAAAGAAAGAAAGAAAGAAAGAAAGAAAGACACATAGGTCGCATATGGCCCGCGAGTGTAGGTTACATATACTGTATTTATTACTTCCTTAGTTACTGGGTAATTTATTTAGTTCATTTGGGTTATGAGAGTTGTTTGAAAAAGAATATAACTTCTTAGCGACTATTTTAAGAGAGTTCTTTGTGACGTACACTTCTATACACATTTGTAAAGTCGTTACGGCCTATTCCTATGAATCCCAAGGTGGTCTGGGTCCCGAAATCATCCTCTTTATCCCCCAAGATCTTGTTCCCTCATTCGATATCGGAATACCAGTTGCGGAAGGCGGTCTCTCCCCTTACTTCCATATGATTTTTACATTTTTATTGTTAATCTTCTATCCTTCGGCTGCATTCTAATATCACAAATTCACAAACCCAGGCAGTAGTCTCAAAAATGCATTTGTTTTGCGCCCAAATTTTTAGAATTCCTTCACAGGCGCAATTTTATACCTGTTGACATACCTGTGTTAACGTTTCTTTCAATCAGACTAAGATGTATTGTTGTGATTATATATCAATATAATTGTTTCAGTTTTGAAATTATATTTACTAAGTAAACACTAAAAGGATATAATTTTGCGATAGTCTGCACAACAATAAGTTCAGAAAATAAAAAACGTAGACACTATTGTGTCAACAGACGTTGACATCTATAGTGTTTATCTTGATTATTTTCTGAACTTATTGTTGTGCAGACTATCTCAAAATCGTATCCTTTTAGTGAACTATACATAACAGGATGCATAACATAAAGATCAGTAATTAAATACCAAAAGCGGCCTCCGTAGTCTAGGGGTAAAGTTCCCACCTCATGACTCAAGGTACGCGGGTTCAAACCCGGCAAAATTAGGTAAAAAGTTTCCCGCCCAAGTAGTTTCCAATGCCTCCGGTAGATGGGAAAGATCAACAACTGGTCGCGGTGCATGGGGAAACCCACCCCCTCCAATAATGACTGAATGAATGAATGAATGAAATATATTCATATAAAACAGAACATGATCTGAACATGATTTGAAGCTTTCAAAGGAACAACATACAACTAAGTCTTCTCGAAAGATCAGCCATATGAATGTGGATTTGGCGGCTGACATTTCTTAAGGAAGGAGAATTTTGTTGTTCTTGAAATCTCGACCCCGTTGATTTAGCCTGTGAGACAGGTTCGTTATGCAATTTGGACATCTAATTTCATGGAAAGTNATGACGGCGTTAATATGGTTAAGTAGACAGAAGCTGGTGTAACCTCAAAAGGAACTAACTGCTCGACCATCTGGAACGTCATTTTGCCCATATTAACTTCCCCTTCCTTTTCGCAGACGAATATGAGTTATTCTTTGGTTTTATAGCAATGGCTTTTCCACTACACAGGAGAAGGTTATGGACCAATAAGTCTACATCAATNTAGTCTAGAGGTAACGTTCCCACCTCATGACTCGTGGTACGCGGGTTCAAACCCGGCGGAGGTCGTGGAATTTTTAAGGGCGGAAAAATTCAGGGAACAAGTCCTCCGGGAGGGACTTTAAGCCGTGGGTCCCTTGTCGTAGCTTTACGGCACGTAAAAGAACCTCATATCTCCAAAGGAGTTCACTGAGCCAAATTCAGGACGTTTCCCGCCCAACAGCAGTCTCTAACGCCTCTGATAAGTGGGGGAAACTTTAGNGAATATGATTGCGAGGGCGCTCTCATATGACTGAGATTATTTGTAGTAGATACTGAAATGAAAAGTCTGTTTTGGAAGTCCGAACACAGTTAATAAATCCTCAAGTTTTATGATCGGTGTGTGAATTTCTTAGTCTCTGTCTGGGAGGCTGACGGTCATGCTGGTGCATGTTAGCGTATGTTGGCCNATACTGGTCTAAGTGCATGGGGAAACCCACCGTCTCCAATAACTAATTAACTAACTAACTAAGAAGACCGCAGACTCTGTATTCCTTCAGTGGAAGACTGATTGATAACACTGTCCGCGTCATGTCTGTGAAATAATACACAGGTTTTCATGATACCTGGCATGAACGTGTTGCCATTGAAGGTCTCCTGACTTATGTATATATTACTGTCTCATAAAATCTGGAAGTGAGACGATGGTACAGTGGTGCAAATATTATGTTTTTGGACATTGCCCATCGTCTTGTCTTTATCTAGAAACCGTCCTGTTTATTTTTCAAAAGAACGTTTCGGAGACTGGATTCTGTCTGAAGCTTTAGGAGACATTGCGGAGTAGGTAAACCACTCTACTCAAACAGACGATTAACTGAAAAGTCGCACTTCACAGAAGAGAAGCCCTACAATTTNCGGAATACAGCCAGAGGCCTCCCTGACTTACCCGGTCGTTAAAGCGCATGTGCCGTACGTGTTCATTACACCTTTTCTCTATGGTGCGGCCGGTCTCTATAGCACACACCTTGTCGCGTTCATAAAGGCCAAGTTCATCTTTCACTGGTCTCAGAAACTACAAATATCCAAAGAAAATACAGGGCCTACTCAAGAGTGGGAAGGACGAGACCCTTGTGTATAAACGTAGTTTGAAAACAAACAAAGGAAACGAAATAAACTCCGTGGCTTGAGTCCGCGAGCGAACTATACTGACCGAGCGACCTCCGCTTATTGGCGAAGTTAGTGCCAACTTTTGCTGATAGAGGATGTCGTGTGGTCAGCGCAACGAATCCCCATGGCCGTTAATTTCAGTTTTCTAGACCGGAGCCGCTATATCATTTGGAAAACATACTTTGTGGAACCAATACTCGTTGAGAACTCCTCAGCAAAGAGTGCGTGGCTTATTGGAGGTGTAGTATGTTGATTACCAGCAAAAATTAGTATTAAATACAACAGAAATACAGTGAGGCAAATCTTTTATAAACGTGAAATATCCACGGCCATGCCCTATCGAGCGATTTCGTAACACTCGTCACATCAGCTCCTGATGATGGAGGCGGAGACAATCTCTAAAACGTTGGACACTAAGTCCACATTGATACAGCCGATCGGACGAAAACATTTATATGTAATGCTTTCCTTTAATATAATATAATCTGATTATTTTTGCAGGAGCTACTCGTCTGTGTGACCTCACTGATCTCCTATGTCTCAAATCTTACTATTGTAAGTATAAATTTGGACATCCATCGATTTTAAATGCAACAGAAGTTAACTGCCCTCTGTACAATGAACACTCAGTGTCTGTTCCAGACAGAACGAGCTTCGATCTGTGG